CCATCCTTTATCTCTGTATGTGTCTCATCAGTTTGTATTCTTTTCTCTCTATCTCTCTCCCTCCCTCTCTGTTTCCTCCTCCCTCACTCCCTCTCTGGCTCTCCTCACCCCTCCCTCCCTTTCTTCCTCCCCCTCCCTCTCTGTTCTCTCCCTCTGTCTCTGTCCCTCCCTCCCTCCCTCTCTGCCCCCCCTTCCTCCCTCCCTCTCCCTCCTCCCCTCACTCATTCACCGTTTTATCCATGCCTGCCTGTGTGCTGGAGGGTGGATGTCTTCCTGTCTGAGCCCAGCCCTCCCCTGGGGTCAGATGGTGGGGAGCACCTTCCCTGCTGAGGGGACAGTCTCGTGGCCAAAGAGAGGAGGCAGAGAGGTGGACAGGCAACCACCCAATCAGTGCCCAGTGCTGATGAGATGGTCTGCTGACCCCTCTCTAGTTCCTGCCCTGTGTGCCTTGGGAGCCAGGTGCTGATTACTGGCTCATTACTGCTTCTTCAAAGGACCCAGGATGTCAGTGGGGCAGGAAGGGGCAGGATGTCCCAGCCCACCTCCTCAGTGCTGCATGACAAGTCCGTGCACACGGCCTCCATCCTCACTCCAGCCCCCACTGTCCAGGCCCTGGCTGACTGGGTCCTGGAGGCTGAGCATGTCACCTTCTTCCCTCCCTCCTGTTGCCCCCAGTGGCACCCAGGGGTGTGCTGTGCTGGCAAGGAACCCCAGCAGGCTGAGACTGGGGGTCAGAGGCCGCCGTGGCAGTGACTCCTGGTCAGGACTCCAAGCCTGGACCAGGACCCAGGCCTAGCCAGTACCCTCACAGCCCCCCTCTCCATAGCCCACCCCCAAAGAGCTCTGGGGGCCCACCGTCTCCTGAGATTCGGGGTCCTGCAGGCCATGCTCATCCCTGCATCACCCTAGAGTGTCCCTCGTGTGCACAGCCCTCCCCCCGCCCCCCCCGTGGGTCCACAGTCCACACTGCCAACCTGAGAGCCTGCGGGGGGCTTCCGGCTCAGCCAGATCAGGTGGCCTGATGCCGGATGAATGCACAGGCACTGAGTGTTCACATAGCACGAGACCCTCTGCCTGAGGCCTGCTCCCAGGAGTGGCCGAGGCCCAGGTGACTGTGGTGTGCTGCCAAGTTTGCCTAATGGGGATCATCTGTGCCTTCTCGCTGAGTGCCCGTGCCACCAAGGGTATAAAGCCGGGGCCTTGGGCCAGGGGGAGACTGGGCTTGGGGGCCATGGAAGGCAGGACCTTGGTGCTGCTGCTGGGGTTCTGGAGGTTGCTGGCAGCCCGTGCACAGAAGCCGAGCAACCCCAACTTCGACCTTGTTAAGGTACTTCTTAGCTCAGACCACAGGTGGGGGACTCTTCAGGACTCGGGTTCTGGAACCTTCCGATTCCTCCCGGAGTGGCCCACAGTACTGAGCTTCCCCTCCCTGCCTTCCCAATGCTGACTTGTCGGGGTGGAGGAGGGGCTGGTCCCTGAGAGCCCCTCAGGGGCCCCTGACCAGGACGCCGGAGCTCCGGGGATCCTGGGGGCAGCTCTCCTCCAAGCCCCTGACCCCCCAGTTCTCAGGCCTCTGGTACGAGATTGCCTTGGCCTCCAAGTTGGGCCACCACATGGGCACAGACAACAAGCTGAAGAAGGTGGGCGCTGTGCTGGTCCAGCTGGAAGGAAAGGCCCTGACCTTGACCTCCGCTCATGACAAGTAGGTGCAGGGCCCCACGGCTCGCGCCACGGGTGGGGAGGGCTCCCACCTCTGGGAGGAGGGTCCGCTGCCCGCGTGCCTCCCTGGTGTTTGGGGATGGAGTCCTCCCAGCCCAGACACCTTCCTACCTGGTCAGCTTCATGGGGAAAATCCCTCTCCAGGCGGCACCCAGGACTCCACCTTGTTCCTCAGCAGTCCTGGGAGCCCTGGCTCTTGCCCCTTCCCCAGCTGTGTGCCCAAGGCCAGTGGTGATTGGCACAGGGCTGGGGGCTTGGCCACGGCTTGGCCTTGATCCTGGGGCCTGGGCTTCAGCCCTGAGCTCAGGGCTCTGACCGAGCAGAGAGATGACTGCCGGAACTAAGGCGACAGGAAGGGACAGCCCCTCCCTGAGAGGGGTTGGGGTGCAGAGCCTGGATGGCCCCCTGGATGTACGCCTCACCCAGGCCCCCCACTGTGCAGGTGCCCACCTCTCGCACGTGGCCACCCCAATTCCATCAGTGGCCCTCCTGGAGTGGAAGGCACCCCTGGCACCCTCAGTGATGCCCTGCTTGTATCTCAGAGCACCTTCACATGGAGGGTGGCCCTGGCCCTCCCCTTTGTCAATTCCCAGAGGGCAGCACGGGGACAGGGTGGAGGGCCCGTGGCCTGGAGTCAGTGTGCTGGGACCCCGGCGGTGCTTTCTCCTGTGGGCATGGACGGGCTGGGGCGGCCCTGGTCGTCAAGCATCTGCTGTCTTCCAGCCTGAAGCACTGTGTGAAGGAGACAGACCAGGCCTCGCAGGGGGACGTCCCTGGGACATACAAGGTGTCCAGAGGTGCAGGTGAGAGGCTCTGGGCCAGGCTTTTCTTCCCTCCACACTGGTGGCTGGTCGCCAGGCCTTCCCAACCCTCTGTGGAGTCTCTGTTCCCTGGTCCGTCTGACCCTGCTGGGCTCTCCAGCTCTGGAGGGAGACCAGGCCTGTCCTGGGCAGGAGCTGGCTCTGGGGCTGCAGCTTGTGAGGGGCTGTACAGGTGCCCAGTGGGCTAGGGGCCCAGGGCCTGGGTGCATAGGGCTATGCAGACGCCCAAGTGCCCAGGTGCCAGGTGCCAGGTGCCAGGTGCTCAGGGCCCAGAAGCCTGTGCTGCACCCCCCCCAGCCTCCAGCCTCTGTCTCCAGGGTGAGGGGTAACAACTTCCTTTTTGAGACTCAGGGGACGTTGGGTCGGGCATCTTCTCCCACGGTCAGCAGGGTTGCCGTCCACCCTTTTTGGAGAGTTGCCTGCAGGGAGCCCAGAGGTCGTGCTCCAACCCTCTGTGTGTGTGTGTTCTTGTATGTGTGCATCTGTGTGTTTAGTGTGTGTACAAATGCAGTGTGTGTGTCAGTGTGCATATGTGCATGTATGTCCTGTATGTTTGTGTGCATGTGTGTTTGTGTGTATACACGTGCTGTGTGTGCATGTGTTTGTATGTCTCTGCACTTACATGTGTGCTTTCTCTGTGCATGTGTGTGCTATGTGTGTGCTGTGTGAGTATGTGTGTGCTGTGTGCATGTGTTTGTGTACGTGTATATATATGTATACAAGTGCTGTGTGTGCATGTGTTTGTATGTCTCTATACTTATGTGTGTGCTCTCCGTGTGCATGTGTGTAATGTGTGTACACTGTGTGCACATGTCTCTGTATTTGTGCACATGTGTATGCATGTACTATGTGTGTATGATGCTCTGTAATGTGTGTGCATGTATCTGTATGTGTGTCTCTTTCCTTGTGTGTATGTGTGTGATATGTGCCTATATGTATGTGCCTCCGTACCTGTGTGTGTCTGTGGTGTGTGTGTTGGTGTGTCTTTGTATTTGTGTGTGTGGGTACTTATGTGTATGAGTGTGTTGTGTGTTGTGTATGCACATGGGTGTCTGTGTGTTTCTGTACTTGTGTATATTTCTGTGTGCAAGTACAGCCGTACATTTGTGACTCTATCCTTGTGTGTATGCTATGTGTCTGTACGTGTGTTTTCTGTCCTAGTGTGTGCTGTGTGTGCTGTGTGTGCCATGCTTATGCACATGTGTGTTTTTCCTGTCTCTCTCTGTGTGCATGTCATGAGTCTGCACATGTGTGTTCTGTCCTTGTGTGTGCGTGTGTGCCATGCATCCGCACATGTGTGCTGTCCTTGTGTTTGTGTGCGTTTGTGTCTGCACATGTGTGTTTTGTCCTTGTGTTTGTGTGTGTGCCATGAGTCTGCACATGCATGTCTGTCCTTGTGTGTGTGTCTTGTGTCTGTGCACGTGTGTTCTGTCCTTGTGTGTGCGTGTGTGCCATGCATCTGCACTTATGTGTGTGCATGAATCTGCACTTGTGTGTGCTGTCCTTGTGTTTGTGTGTGTGCTGTACGTCTGTACCTGTGTGTTGTCCTTGTCCACCTGTGTACTGTCCATGTGTGCATGCTGTAGTGAGATGTGTGCGAGGTGGGAGCATGCTCTGGGTCCGTGGACATGAACCCACCTGAGAGTTCTTGGCCACGTTGTCTTCCAGGGACCAAAGAAGTCCGTGTGCTGTTCACGGACTACAAGACCTACGCCGTCATGAACGTGACCCTCCGCCAAGGAGACGCCGTCCAGAGCATCATGAAACTGTACAGTACGCTCAGGGCGTGGGCTGGGGTGTCCATCTGTCCCTGCTCCCTCTAGTCCCCTGCCCTGGGGCCCCCTCCAGCTCTCAGAGGTGGATGAAGGGAGCTCAGGAGTGTTCCCGAGTGACTGAGAAGTCCACGGTGGTCTGGGTCAGCCCCCAAGCTCCATCCAGGCAAGCACACGACAGGGAGTGAGCCGAGGCCCCCAGTCTGCTGTCCCACCTCGCCCGCCCCTCACAGGCCGGAAGCTTGACCACAACGAGGAGGCCCTAAAGAAGTTCCAGGATGTGGCAGCGCAGAGCGGGTTCACAGAAGGGGATGTTCAAGTCCTGGACCTGGACCGTGAGTGCCCTGCCCCCTGCCTGAGGCCCCCAGGGCCCGCCCCCATTCGCAGCCTCACCCCCTCTCTTCCCCACAGTGACGTGTGTGAACTTGCTCAGCTCGGTGAGTGCGGCAACCTGGGGACCCCAAATCTGGGTGTGGGGGTGCTGGGGCCCTCCTCTCTGTCAGTGTCCCTTGGCAGTGAGCAGAGCAGAGGGGCCTGGGGTCCAGGGGCTGAGGAAATGCTCCCGAGCTCTGTCTCTGGGGCTCCATAAAGACAGGGACACAGGCTGAACTGTGAGGGGCCCTGCTTGGGGGAAGCAGTGTCCATGACCCTTCTGGGCTCTGGCCACGGCAGCGGGGGGACCACAGGGTGACAGATCTGGGGGGGGTCAGTGTTGAAGCTGAGCCCTGAGGTCCTGCCTAAGGTCTCTCCTGAAGGCAGAGGTCACTCCTGTCGCGTGGGTGTCCCTGTTCTCATTCACTGAGCCAGGCATAGCAGGGGCTTTGCACAAGCCTCTTACATCAGATTCGGGGTCCCCACCCCACACCCAAGGAACCTCCCTCCCCACCAAGCTCTGGAAAGAGGCAGTCCCGGGGCTCTGGCTCATCTGGGGGCTGGGGGCAGGTTCTGAGGGGCAGGGCCAGGTGAAGAGGAAGCTGCCCCACAAGTGGGCTGAGGTCACCGCCTGGCTGGCCCCGTGGACACGCTGCCCCAGCCCCCGTGACCTCACGGCCTCGTCGCCCCCCCCCCCCCGTGTTGCAGTGAGGACAGCACAGCCCTGCACACCCGGCCTCCCCCTGCGGCCCTCAGCTCTGACCCAACAAGCCCTCAATAAACCCGCTGCCAAAGCCGCTGCCTGCGTGTCTTTCCTGGGGCAGGACTGAGAGGCAGAGTGGGGTGGGGGGGACAGCCCGATGGGCCCAGGCAACAAGGGGCTGCTGTCACAGAATGCCACAGTGGGGCTTTAAGGGACAGACCCCCATCAGCCCACAGTTCGGGAGGGGTCCAAGTTCAGGGGGCAGCAAGGTCAGCTCTGTGTCCCTCCAGGCCAGCACGCTTCCTGTCTGCTCCAGCTTCCGGTAGCCCCTGGCATCTCAACCCAGGCCTGTCTCTCTGTGTCTACCACCCCTTCTATAGGGTGCCTCTCACAAAGGACTAGGAGCCACCACTCCAGCATGACCCCTTCACATGATAATAAATCTTCAGATAAAGAGCTTGTTCCCCCCACAAGGTGACCTTCCAGGTACAGGGCCGAGGACCTCCATGTCCTTGGCAACACAATCCAGCCTGTACACCAGCTGACAAGAGCAACTCCAGCCCTAGATGGAGGTTCACCGAAGTCCCCGACAGGGACTGGAGTCCAGGGGCCACCGCAGGCCGGGCCGGCTCTATGTCTCCACCCCTCTTTCTGCAGGGCCCGGGGACACAGCTCACACACGGGACCACAGCACACCACCTTCTCCCTCCCTCCCTGTGCCACGTCCTGCCTCCTCAGAGCCCCAGGTGTGGCCCCCAGCACCGTCCTCACTGAGCTGTGGTCTCCATGGCTCCCTGAGAGTCAGAGGTGGCACTGGACCGGGCCCCCTTGGGCCCAGCCGGGAGCAGAGTAGAAGCGCAGGTGTGGGTCTCAGATGGAACCCCTCCCCCATGACCTCCCATGGCTCCCTAGTGTCCAGAGCTCAGCCCCTACGGCCCTGAACCTGTGTCCAAGGTCCTTCAGATTTGCCTCCTGCCTGGCCTCTTCCTGCTGGCCCTGACTGATGGCTCCCTACCCATCTGACCCCCATGGCCCACACCCCCAACCACCCCGTTTTGTTCTCTCGGCAGAAAGGGCGGTCTGGGTCGGGGCAGAGAATGCTGTGAGGCTGAGCCAGGGCGGTCAGTCTGCATGGGCAGGGGCTGTTTCTGCAGGCCCGGGGAGGGCTGCAGGCCTGGCGCTGAGCTGGGCTGGGCTGGGGAAGTGTGACCATCCCAGGGTGCCGAGGTGTGTCTGGCGGAGAGCAGAGCAGGTATGAGCACTTTGAAGCCAGCTCAGTGGATGTAGGGGCCGAGAGCCAGGCCTGAGCATTTTCACAGCCCAGAGGTGGGGTCGAGGCCCCAGGAAGCTGCCAGCCAGCGGCCCAGAGCCCTTGTCCCCTGCTCCGCCTCATTCCTTGTCCTGCAGGAGATGACCCGTGGCCTCTAGCTACTGCACCTGTGCAGGAGCCCTCTGTCCTGCTCCTTGGAGATGGGCAGAGGCTTGTCTGGACCCACAGGGACCAGGGCCCTCTCCCCTGGAAGAGTCCAGAGAATAGGTATGTTTGGGTTAAGTTGTGTCAAGGTCCTGACCCCTGTACTTGTGACCTTGTCTGGGGAAATTGGATCTTTCTTTGGAGATGTGATCAGTTGAGGAGGTCTGGGCTGGAATCTTAGAAGAGGACAGACAGTCAGTCACCCAAGGGGAGGAGTGGCCATGTGACAGATGCAGCTGTAAGCTGAGGACACCAAGGGTCACTGGCCGCTGTCAGGAGCTGAGCATTGGGGATTAGAAGCCCCTCAGAGCCTGATGCCCTGACTTTGATCCCAGCCCCCAGAACTAACAGGGGCACCCTAACAGTTGGTTCTTTAAAGTCACCCACAGGTTGTGTGTTCCGGTGGCCCTGGGACTCTGACAGAGTGTTGGGATGGGGTTTGACAGCCCCAGAGAGGAGCCCCTTCCCCACGTTGCCCTTCCATCAGCCCTGAGCTGTTTGACCATGATGGGCCCTCACTTCTCTCATGAGTGGCCAGTCCACACTGGACACTATCCCTGGAGAGTGTCTCCTTCGAGCTATCGTTCAGCATTAGTAGGGTATTTGGTGGGGTTGGCGGGGGTCCTTGTGGAAGGGGGGCTCCTCCAGGAGATGCTGGCCTGAGACCAAGGGCCTTGGAACCAGGGACACCGAGATGTTGCTGTTGTTTGATCCTTTCCCTGGTGTAGGGATCGCTGGGGCTTAGGCATCTACTTCCTGCAAGTCCCGGGGCGTCTAAGCCACTGTCCAGACCACTGACCTGGGACACTCACCCGTCCATGGGTTTTCAGAGTGTTGGCAAAGCCCCCGGTCCCCTCTCTTGGCTCAAAAGTCAAGTGAGTAAGGGAGACAGGGGGTGTGAATACCCATTCTGGGGGCATCCTTAGGGGCAGGAGTTCAGGCCAGGCTGAAGGGCTGGGCTGACCCTTCCTGCCTGTGTATGCCCTTGGTTCTTCTCAGCATACCCTGCCCCTCCACACACACACACACACACACAGAGCCTGGCCCTGTGATCAGCCACAGTCCAGTCAGGAAACAAGGAACTCCCAGTTGTTTTAACAGAGAGAATTTAATACAGGGACTTGATCAGTGAGGCACTGGAGGATGCAGAAGGCACAAGGAGGACCTGAAGTGACCTATCAGGCTGCAGGAAGCAGCCTCCAGGAAGGGCTGGTCGTCAAGGGGTGAGAGTCTCATCTCTGAGGAGAGACCCCTGGGTTGGGATCAGATCCAGGGACAGACGTAAACCAAAGGAAGTATTCCTTTGTGTGAGTTTGTGGATTTCTTTTGCTGTGATTTCAAACTTACAGAAGAACTTAAAAACCAGTACAGAGAACTACCACATACCCTACGCCTGTCATCATTTATGCTCTTGCCGTCTACCCCTTGTGTTTCTGTCTCCATTTTCTCCTGAAATACATTGGGATTAAGTTGCAGCCGTTACTCTCCTTACTGGCAGCAGCTGCTCCAGGGCTGTAGTGAAGGAGAGAACTTGAGGTCACGTGGCTGTTGACGGTGGAGACCAGCCCAGCCAGAGTGGACGGACTTGGCTAACCTTCAGGCACCCAGCTGAGACACCAGGAAGGCACTGCTAGAGCCCAGACTGAGGCTTACCTCCACTCATCTTGATAAATCCCAAACCAAACCCCAAAAGACCCAGAAAGGAGACATTTGGGGGCTGAACTCCGACAAATTAGAGATGCTTGAGAAAAGCTTGGATTTTCCTCAGATTTGTCTGACCAAAGCATTTAAGGCTTTCAGCAAGTTCAAGGTGATCAGTCAGTAATTGAACTTCCTGCTGGAAACTCAACACCATTAGAGGGTAAGAACAGAGTCCAGGGTCTCAACAATGCATCATCCACAATGCACAGCACAAAAAAGTCCTAGACAGGCAGAGAAGCAGAAAACCTGTAGTAAAAAGTAATTAGTAGAGCCGTACAGAAGCAATGAGTCCAGGGGTCTGATGGACCACGGGAAGCTCAGCCTTCACAACCCAGAGACCAGAAGAAGTAGATGGTGCCCGGCTACCAATGCCAACACTCAGAAAGGGATCAGAACTGGAGATCCTGGATACAGTGTGAGGAAAAATGTGGAATAAAATTCAAAAACACAAAAATGACCAGAATTACTGGTCGGATAGAGACTGGTGGAACCCTTGAAACTATGGCCCTGGGATCCCCTACAGGCCTACAAATGGGCTCGTTCCCAAGGATTGGCTCTCAGTCCAATGGTAGAAAGACCTACACGTAGAACACCTACCCCAGGGAGATGCACCCCTTAGATCCATTCACAGTGAGAGATAAGAAGGGCAGCATGTGAATGAAGGGAAAGCTGGACAGACAGGAATGCACGGTTAAGAAGGGCGCAGGGAAGGGGAGTCACAGGCAGGAGGGGGGGAGAGCTTTGTATTTTGGGGATTGTAACTGGGCCATGAAACCAAAAGTGCATGAACTGTTGAGAGTAAAACAAACCTGCTTTGCAAATTTGCACCCAAATCATACTTTAAAAAAATAAAAGGCTTAAAAAAGAGGGGGCATGTAAAACAAAACAAAAAGTAATTGGTAGAAATTGATCCTGAGAAGATCTAAGTTAGGGTTAGAAGACAACATTTTAAAGCAGCTACTTTAAACATCACAAGAACAAAGGGAAGTTCTGTTCTAAGAACTAGTTAATAACAGGGCAGAACTAAAGGATTAGTTAGTTAATGAACAAGGAAGCCATGAGTGAACAGATGGGGAAATCAGACACAGAACTGGGAACCATGAAAAAGAACCAAATGCAAGTGCTAGAACTGAAGACAGTAACTGAAATTAAAAACTCACTGGATGGACTGAATAGGAGCTTGGAGATGGCAGAAGAGTGTCAGTGAACTTGAAGACAGACCAATGGAAATCATCCGACCTGAGGAAGAGGCTGGCAGTGATGCAGAAGCCTGTGGAGCAGCGTCTGGTGTGTCATGGGGCTCCAGAAGGAGGCAGGACAGAGATAATGCAGAAACATATTTGAAGAAATATCTCCCCCATTTGACAGAAAGCATCCATGTAGGGACCCCAGAAGCTCAGAGAAACCATACAGGATCCAAACAGAATAAAACCACACCTCGCGACATCACAGTAAAACAATTGCCAACCAGCAATCAGGAGAAAATTATAAAGGTGTTAAAGCAAGTAACTGTGCTACATAGCAGGGTAACATGGCTGACTTCTCATCAGGAACAGTGGAAGCCAGAAGACAGTGGAAGGGCATCTTTAATGCGCTGACAGGAAAAAGCTCAGCTCAGAGTTCTACATCCAAGGAAAAGGTCCTCCAAATAAGAGGGTGAAAGAAGTATGCTTTTAGATACCTAAAGGCTGATGCTGTTTGTCTCCAGCTGTTGCACAAGGAATAACCACCCAGGGTGCTGTTCGGGCAGAAGGGATGTGATGGCATATAGCAGCCCAGCTGCACAAGAAGGAGGAGCTGCCCCAGGGATGGTGGATGCATGGGTACACGCACTTACTAGTGGGTCCCTATGTGGTGCCAATTGCTGGCACACTTGGCTGCTGACCAGCAGATTGGGGACTTTTTCAGGAGGAAAGGCCTGGTGACCCATTTCCAAAAAGCCAGCCATTGAGCACCTACACACCACAGCTCTGTCCTCACACAAAGGGGGTCTTTGTGAATCAGGGTCCACTTGACAGCAGCAGGGACTCTTATTAGCCAGTGTTTTCTGCATGAGTGAGCTATCCTCATTCATTCACTTGCTCATTCACATTGTCGCAGACTCAGGGATTCTCGCCTTCGGCATGGTTTGTATTCTGTGACTCATCATCTAACATGAAGCTCACCCCTGAGTGGATTTGTTCAGTGGGAGCTCCTCCAGGATCACTCCTGGATCTTTTGGACACATCTCCATAGTACCTTGAGAATGTCTTTATTTTGGGGCAAGTATTTTTCCAAGTCCCCTACCCAAGTCTTGGAATAACTTCTCCGTATTAACCAAGTGACTCTTGGTCCCCATCTTAGTGAATGGTGTTGATAAGTTAACACCCAGACACGTTTGTGCCCAGTTTTAGTGGGGTGCCGTTGTGTCTAGGCCTTCTCAGCAGAGGGAGTTTGGGTTGTACCTTCTCCCCTTCCTTTCTCCCTTCCTTCCTCTTTCCCTTCATCCACCCCTCCATCCATCTATCCATCTGTCTATCCATCCACCAAGCCACCCATCCATCCATCCTTCTTCTAGCCATCTGTCTATCCATCCACCCATCCATCCATCCACACATCTATCCACCCACCCACCCATCCACCCATCTATCCATCCATCTATCTTTCTTTCTATCATCTATCTGTCTATCTGTCCATCCATCCATCCATCCATCCACCCATCCATCCACCCATCCACCCCTCCATCCTTCTTCTTTCTATCATCTATCTATCTGGCTATCTATCTTCCTACCTGTATATCATCTACCAATCTATACATCATCTATCAATGTCTCTATCAATCAATCACCTGTCTCTCTATATAGTGTCT